ACTTTGGTAGTTTTATCAGGGATGTAATGTTTATATGAATATCTCATGTCAAGGATAAGGTTGTGTTATGTCTTCACCCAACACAATTTATTTCTTTTACTTTCAAGGATGAATGTGTCTATTATGTTTTGCACATAAAAATTTGGACGACCTCTAATATTTTAAGAATTTTTTTACCCGAAGTATATATACTGAAAATGAAGGAATTTCACTACAAAAGACTCCAAGCATTAAGACTAAAATAATAATATATTTTGGAACTAGAACTTTTGTAAAATTTCTCCATGTGGCACCTTCTTTTGACAACTTATGCAAATTTTGTTTTAGGACATTTTTGCAAAGAGATTTTATGGAAATTTCACGTTAGGTTTCAAAGCACATATTTAGATATTACTGTTGTGAATGTATCTACCTGTAATTGAAATTAATTCAGATAAGTACAATAAACTTTATTAACTTTTGCAAATATGTGTTTAAAATATTTTAATATTTATGATGGCAGCTGGATCAGATCATTTGCTAGAATAAAATATACATGTAGCTCCAATCAAAATTAACATATATTTTGCTGTTATGCTTTTCCCGATAGTAAAAGTGATATAACAGGAAAGTTTTTGGTATCTACATAATCTGCCATTCATTTTGAAAGATAAATGTATTTTTAGGCTAATTGTCATGGAAGATATCTTGATTAACATTAAGTAAGAAGAAGAAGATAGAGAAAATTCCTATTACTTTTTCATTAACAGTTCAGCATTTATTTGGTGATATAATTTACTCACTTGCCTTAATATATATATAGAAATAATGTGGAGAACATATTCATACTTAATTGGGTTAAGTGTATTTAATGGGCAAATCCAGAGTTGTAATTGTTCTGAGAATGGCTTTGACAAAGTGGGTTGTGCTATAACAGCAAATCATTTATGGGCTGTATAGAAGATTGCTTATGACTCATTCTAACTTAGCAATAAATTAATTTCTCAACATTACAAAGGTCTCACTCAGCATGAAAATTTTAACATTCACCACAAAACTACAAGCAGGTTGATGCAGTTCATAAAAGATCCAGCACTGTTAAAGAGTTGATGCAGTTCATAAAAGATCCAGCACTGTTAAAGAGTTGTAATTGATTCTGAAGTTCTGCTTTCACATTGCAAAAAATCACTATAACCAATTTAGTTTCAGTATTTTTTTTACATTTAGTGTGAAAAAACAATTCTTACACCTTTCACTCAATCTGTAAAATTACCATTTTGTGTTAGTAAGGTGCTTATACAATGATAAAACAAATGTTTTTCTACATTGTATTAAAAAGATATTTATGTAACATTAAATATACAATTTCGTTCATTTTGAAGCAAAAAACATTGCATCTATCGACTCTTAGGTATCACTGATTGCAAGTTATAAGTTGGATATCCAGAACAGGGAGTCATTTACCTGAAACCATAGCATTACATGGAAATTTCACTTAGGAAATTCTGTCCAGAAAAGTTTCATGAAACTTGCCAGTTGTGAAAAATGAATTTTTCCAATGTTTTAACTAATGTAAAGTTTTGAGCAGGCTGATGTTTGGTCGAGGTTGAACATTTTAGCAATGTATATTTGAAAAAAAAATCTGGTTTCACTTTCTGGTGATTTTGTTAATTATCAGTTAATATCATAAATAATATTCAATGTTAAACTGGTACAAAATTAGAAAACATCCTGAGGATGACGTTGTAACATCGAAACATGTAGAGTTGTCAACTTTTTGAAGGCCATAGATAGGCCTCAATAAAATGTTTTTAATTGTGTACCAGTTTAACGTTGAATATTATTTATTATTTTAACTTTACACACAAGTGCCAAAATACTATAATTATCAGTTAATATTTCTAATCACTTTTGAGTTTTACCGCATGAAGTTAAAATATTTTAAGTTTCTGTTGATTGAAAGTTAATATCATATTTGTGTAATTAATGTTTTTTGTCTCAAGAGATGTCATCTGTTTGGAGCCAAAATTAAATTAAAAACTTGACATTTGGTATGATGACATATCCTACAATGAAATGATGCAACTCAAGTTGAATCTTGTGCTCTCTCTCTCTATGAAGGCTTTAAAACCATTCTCTACATAAAGGTTGTAGTATGGTTCTAGATGGATAGAGAGAGATTTGATTTTGTAGTATTCTCCGATTTACCTTGGAGTAATTGGGGAGGAACCACCGAATGACAATAAGCTCACCAGAAAACATTTTATGGAGCAAAATCTGAATTTTCTTAACCTCAGCAGAGCCTGAAGTAAATGAAGAGACTGGATACATTGTACTACACACACACTGAAAGAATTTTTATTTCAACATGAACAACAACCTAATGCACGTACAAATCTGTAGGGTGTCACTTTTACTATGGGGTTGTTAGTATGTCTAAAGTAGCATGGCCTAGTGGTTAGGGTGCTTCACTCTTAATCTGCGGATCGCGGGTTTGAATCCCCTTTACCGGACATGCTCACCCTTTCAGCCGAGAAGCCATTATAATGCTATGGTCAGATCTGTTCATTGGTAAAAAGAGTAGCCCAGGAGTTGGCAATGAGTGGTCTTAACTAGCTGCCTTCCCTCTAGTCTCTCACTCCCTAACTAGGGAAGGCTAGACCTCGTGTATCTTTGTGTGAAATTCAAAACAAACTAATTTAAAATTATCAGAAAACTTGGCATTTTATATAATAATAACAGCAATACCATTTTTTGCAAGGCCCAGGTGCTACCCATGAATCACAGTGACTCTCACTCCAAAGTAAGGGATGTTGTAATTTTGAGATATCACCTGATTTAATCATTTTGATGAGTACTCCTGTTTGTTTATTTTTGAAATACAGACATAATTCGCACACTAGCAAGAACCATTTGGCCTTCAAGGCCCTTTTTATCCACCCTCGAGAAAAAGTGAAAATATAAACCCATCATTTGTTTTTCAGAAAATTATTGATTCCTCTTTTAAACTACTCATGAAAACTCATTCCATCCTTGGAAACACCTGGTATCTTACTGATAAGTCTGAAGGATTTTCCATCCTTGGAAACACCTGGTATCTTACTGATAAGTCTGAAGGATTTTCCATCCTTGGAAACACCTGGTATCTTACTGATAAGTCTGAAGGATTTTCCATCCTTGGAAACACCTGGTATCTTATTGATAAGTCTGAAGGCTTTTCCATCCTTGGAAACACCTGGTAAGCCTTCAGACTTATCAGTAAGATACCAGGTGTTTCCAAGGATGGAAAAGCCTTCAGACTTATCAGTAAGATACCAGGTGTTTCCAAGGATGGAAAATCCTTCAGACCTATCAGTAAGATACCAGGTGTTTCCAAGGATGGAAAAGCCTTCAGACTTATCAGTAAGACATTAACTTAAAAATCTGGATTTGATACCCAATAAAAACAAATTAAAAAAAAACATTCCTGGAATCATCTTAATAGAGCAACCCTCGATCCATTTCCAAAAATTGGAAAAAATCGTTTCTTAGATAAGGAGACAAATTCTTTGCAAAGTATTCCAAATAAGGTTTGACAAGTGATTTGTATAAAGAGATAATTACTCCATTTGCTTGTAATCATTATGTCTATAAGTTAACCCTAATATTCTATTAGTTTGTCTACAGGTGACAGACAGAGAATGCATGGAAGGCTTGAGTGACTTTTTCACAACAAACCAAGATCCTTTTTTTTTTTCAGTCATGCTATTGAGTGGGTTTCCTGATGTGACCCAACTTATGATAAAGGTATTATCTGGCACTCCCTGTAAGTTCATTATCCAAATAAACGATTAATTCAATATATTTTATAATACCTCAACATCCTCAGTACATCTAAATATATCATATGTCATCAGCAAATGTTACTATTATTATAATATCATTAATATAAATAAGAACTATGAAAACATGTGGCACGATACTCTGAACATTGCCAAGAAATAAGTTTTCTACTTGATAATTATGTGGTATAGATCATCAAAGTTAGCAATTGTGTTCAACTTCCTCTGAAATCATACGGACGATAATAAATAGCATTATGCTTAAGAGATGGCGCCACAAATGCTAACTTTACTTTCTATTGTACCGTTATGTTTCATAAGTTATGATCCGTGCAAAGCAATATCGTAATACATGTAATGTTTTTAGTTTCTGTTTTTCATCAAGGCTTCTCGTGCATATGTTTTTTTCAATATTCAACAAATTCTACTTTATTCTACAAATTCTGGTTGTATGGTAAAGTTCTTGGCTTTTATCGATAGATTGTGGAGCTACGAGATGTAAACAGTGCAGATAGAAAATGCTGAAGTTTTGCTGACACAAACAGGGCAGTTCTTCCACACTGGCAATTCTCTTTTAATGCTTTAATTTTTTTTTTTTTGAATTGTTATATTTGATAATTATTATCAATGATTGAAGTCCGCTAGTTAGGATGAGAAAAGTGTTCTTTCTTTGTTGTTACACAATGGGCTATCTAAGTAGTGCTCATCACGAGATATAACCCTGACTCTTAGTGCTGTAAGCCCTCAAGCGTACTATTAAGTCACTATGGAACAAAGAAATTAGATAGATTTAAGTTGGAAGAAATGTGAAAAAAGGCTAACTGAAACATTTAGACGTAGGAAAAAGTACAGAATACTTTGTTATCTTCTGAGTTTCAGACATTTAAACTTACTCAGATATTAAATTGAGTGAAAATTTCCAAACCTTTTTGTCTACCATATGCTTTATCACCTTTTTTTGGAAGACAAAAAAACAGAACAACTATATATGTTGTTTTCACTTTGCGATTATTTTATTTTCAAGCCGGACATGTATTAGTGATTTGGGTGTCGGGCTTCGTTATTGAAGGTCCAATGTTCGAACCGTGATATACCGTTAAACACGCTCTATACCCTTCAGCTCTGGGGTGGGGGAGATTATACAAAGAATAGCGGCGAATACTGCTGACTGGCTCTCCCTATTGTCTGTAGTTTTAAATTAGAAATAGCTTTAAAAGTCTGTGACGTGGTCATTTAGCTCGTGTTGACTAAGATACTGCTTAGGTTAAAAATATTTTTCACTTCTCACTTGCGGCATTTCATAAATAAGTGTAGTGTGACTATTAAAATAATTAATAATGTCTTATTACGACTTATAGATCTGGATGTTTCAGACTCCATTAAAAATGTAGTTTACGTTTGAGTCACTTAATAGTGAAGTAAGTATCAGCACATATTCACTCTAATTATTTGATTGATTTATTATCAGCATCCAATTATTTAATGACAATTCAAAGCTTTTTGAACTGTTGATATTGTTTAAGTCAAAGATTCTGTATATTGTTTACTACAACTATATAAAGCAGTTATTATATATAAAAGCGAAGACAAGCTGTTTGGAAAATACAGAGTTGATCTACGATCCTCTTCTCGCAGTTTTAGAGAATGTTTAGCTTAGTAATAAAGTGCCTTTGAAAAGTGCCAGCTCCACACGTTCTCCTTTGCATGCAGTTTAGGCAGGATTCGGATCAAGAAAAGTTCTCGGCTGGCCCACACTAAAAAAAAACAACAGAAAACATATCAGTTATTATGGTATATCACGCCTTCTTCTGGCGAAGCGTGTGCTGTAGAACGGTGATTTGTATGACATTACATCAGAGAAAGATTGACAATAATATTTCACAAATCCGTTTTTATTTGTCAGATACAGGTTTCCAGGAAGAAGAATGTAACAGTACCTCAATAACACATTTTGTGTGCTAAACGCTACTGAATTAAAGTTGTTCTTTAGGATATTATATGCTTAATTACATCTATAATTAATAAACTTATTCATCTTATTTATTCTAAGTTAGAATCGTGTTTTATATGTCATATTAATTAACTAACAGTTTATAAATTTTATCACATAAAATAAAATCGTATATAATATATTGTTACGCCTCCAGTCATTAGTTAATTTTCCGTAAATTCGTTCCGAC